TGCTCTAATCGAAAATCGTTTTGCTTTATATGATCCCGAGTGGGAAGAGTGCAATATTCAAAAGGTCTGCGCTCTGATATTAACGCTCTTACCTAATTCTTAATTATTTTTTATTATTCATTTAGCATAACGGAAAACGCTTACGTCATCCGCGAGAAGACTTCCCAACGTGAGATTTTTTTCTTTTTTAATATTAAATGTGTTCGTAAATTTTCTATATATATATTGTGACTGTTTATTGTATTTGTGTTTTCACTGGACAGTATAGTTAATTAAGGTGTTTATCGTTTAGGTTTATAATGTTGGAATCGGGTGAGTATGCCAATCTTGATGAATTGATTTACTTAGAAGAGCTCGGTATAGACTATGAAGCCATTTATGACCGCAATATATATAATACATCGTCCATTCTAAATAAACACCAGGATGCGACCCCCCAACTACGAGAATTACCGTTCTATCTGTTGTCGACAAATCCGTTTCGTATCGAGATTATGTTAGAACTGATTGGTATTAAAACTTTACATTAATCTATATATATTGGACACGTTCGTTTGCCTACAACGTTAATCTCATTTGAAGCCCTTTTACAAAATTTATTAAGCGACTTATGTAACATATCTTGTGTTAAATTTGACAAAGCTCGTGAATTATTAATACCTTTTCTTCTGCTTTATTAAAGTGGACTTTTATTTTTTTTTTTTTATTATGTATGAAATATCTTCTCATATTTTAGCTCTCATAGAATAAATCTTCTTCCTTTTGTCCGTTCTAAATGAAATGCCGTTTTTTTTTATACGAATATTTTTAACAATTTAAGTACGATTTCAAATTTCTTCTTGAATCAATGTTACTGAAAAGCATGATTGGAGTAGATAAACAACAACATCGAAGAAAGGTTCTTTGATGTTTGCTTACAGATTGCAAGCATTTTTTGTTATGCTTTTTATACCCATCACGTATGTGGTATGTGTTTTTTGGTAGGGCATAATGTGTCCGGTTGTTTGTGTGTGTGTGTGTATGTGCATAGGTTTGTTTTAAAAGATGATGGCCTGATTCCGGTTGCTTTTGCCCGTCGTCGAATGCCTATTTCATTTTTAGCTGTTCCCGTCATTTGCAAGAGAGAGGCGGGCAATAGCGAGCAGTAAAATAAAAAATATTTGCACTTTTTTTCCCCGATGATTTGGATTAATATTCGTAATTAAATTGTTTACTTTTCAATTCAGTTAAGTTTCATAGCATTTTAAAATTCTTCATATATGCTAACCTGGCAGTGCAGACTTGTCTGCAATCGAATTGCTTACCGAAAACAGGAATTTTTGTTTCAAAAGCAATGGATGCAGGAAGCGTTAGCTGTTCTGCTATACCAGAGCGGAATTTTCAATTAGTAAATTTCTTCACGATATCTCTTGAATTTAATTTTGGTTCAAGTTTTGTATTTATGCCAAAAAAAGACGAAGAAAACATTCCCCCAATTTTCAAAACAATATTTAATATTGCGCTTATCTATAATAGGACTGATGGGCCATTATTAGCACATTTTATGCAAGTATTGTTTTCAAACTAAATAACCATTTTTAAGAGTGATTTCCTAAGAAGATTGAGAAGTTGGTTAGAGCCTTGCTTTTCTTCAAAAGTTTTCGTTCTTGCTGTCGCGGAGAGGATTTCTAAACCAATCAAAGAATGTTCTCGCCAAGTGACCGGACATTAGCTTACAATTTCCGATGGCGAGTTCTTTATCGACTTCACCAATACGTTTTTTCTTTTGTAATTTTCATGGAAATTATCTTTGGTTCTTGATGGTTCGCTGGATTTACTTAATGCTGTTGATACCAGATGTCCAACTGTGTAGTATCTGTGGTAAACACTCTTTTGTTAGCGACAATGAAGACAACGACTTCTAATTTGCAAAAGAATATTGGGAGTGACTTAAACTTTTAGACAAGAAAATGCCTAAAGCATCCACATAGAGCTATTAATACACCTTTACACCTTCAACCGCGGTGTCTATAACACGCTCAGCCCTTGCTCTGGAAGTGGTAACTTTATCACCAGCTACGGTAATTAAATTAGAAGGACTGATATGAATAGTATGATTATGCGTCCATAACTGGGTATCATCTTTTTTTGGTTGTGACACAACAGAAGGAGTTGTAGGAGAAGGAGGTATATCACTCCAGACCGATAATACATCGTCATAAGGTTATGCGAGAAAGCTTTTTGTATTGAAAAGAAAAAAAAACCAACCGGTCCACATTACATATTGTATAAGGCAATCATATCATTCTCAGAACCTGGCGATAATGCAAGTAGCAATTAGAGGACATTAAATATGGAAATATAAACTGTTCGTGGATCTAAATGTTAAGTAGTGGTATCTCTAACCAACGACCCTGACAATTCGGATTATGCCGTTAGTTAAAATTTCAAATTTTTCTGAAATCAAGTCAAAATAGTTGATATCAAATCGTGTTATGGACATTTCAAGAGCCTATTGACAGTGTTCGTAGGTGCTGCTCCAGACGGGCGCAAGCCATAGATGCCTAGAATTGCATCAACGTTTGCCCGCACAGAGAGTGGATTCTATCTACTTTGGGAAATCTTGACAAGTAAGTGAAGGATGAAAATGAAGCAAATTCCTCGACATGACGCGAAAAAATCAGTCGAAAAAGAAGAAAAAAAAGTAAGAAAATTATTTTCGGACCTGACCGAATCTTTTATCTGATCCTAAAATGGACTAAAGAAAAAAGGAAGCAACAACAAGATTGGGTTGGCGCGGTTGATATTCTCTATCTTTACAATAAAAGTGGAAATGTATATGTGTTGTAACTTGCAAGTAACAAGCGAGAAGAAAAGAAAGCGAAAATATGCACAATTTCTGTTACATAGACGTATGGAAGTTGCAGGCGTGTTTTTTGAAAAGTTCACGCTATTTTCAAATTTTTTTCCAAGTTTGTAAGCGAATGGTAGATCTTCCGGTTTTCCACGGATTCTACACAGTTGCGCAGATGGACAGATAGACGAATAAGTGGACGGACATGGTTAAGCGAGAACAAGAATTTATATGCACTATGGTATTTTTGAATCTTACTTCTGTGTGTTGTAAAGGTTTAAAAAAAAAAAGTGATGTTATGACGCACTATAAAATTACGCAGGCATTGAAGATGATTCGGATCAGTGTACTTTTTTCGGGCATTTCTTTTAAAACGCCTTAGTCTAATACGTTGTTATATGAAGAAATAGTGTAATTTTCGAAATTCCATTGCAAAAACTCTTTACAAATAGTATTTCGACACTCTAAGCTGGTATGTAAGCTTTGGACTGAAT